ACCTTCAGCCTCGGTGTCTCCCTGCCCTCATCACCCCACCCCTGACCCACACACCGAGCTCAAAGACAAGCAGAGACAGGGGCACACAGAGGGGAGGGACGTCCCTCAGGCCCGCACAACAGGGTCCACAGACAGGAGGGGGGCAGAGCCGCCCCTCAGCCTGGAGGAGGGCAACAGTGAGAAGGCAACACCAGGAGAGGAGGGCAGACAGAAGGAGGGGCGGGCCTTCACCTCGGGGACCGCGGAGAGAGGACACATGGGGGGACAGGGCCAGCACCCAGGGTGAGAGGCCCTCCTCCTCGAAGCTCTGGAGAGGGGAGAACAAAGGAGTCACAGGAGAGCCGGGCAGCCCCGCAGCCTCCTCTCGCTCTGGAGAGCTGAGGGGATGAGGTGGGAGAGGAGGAGGGGCAGAGCTGAGGGCCAGGGGGCTTCCCACTCCTCAGCTCAAGGGGAGGCCATGAAAGGAGCGAGCAGCAGAGGAGAGCTCAGGGCACAAGAGAGGCCTCCGTGGGAACTCGGGAGCAGAGGCCACAGTGAGGCGAGGAGGCAGTGCGAGGTGTGAGGGCCTTCCCTGTCCCCATAGAGGCGTGGGGAGCCTGGCGGAGTCCAGGGCAGAGGGGCTTACCCTGGGTGTTGGTGGGTTTGGCCCAGGCGGGTGTGGGGGGGCCCGGGCCTCGAGGGGGACGGGCGTAAGTGGCCAGAAGGAGGCGGTAGGCCGGATTGGAGAGCAGCAACGCTGTCGGGAGAAGGAGGGGTGGGGGACACGGGGAAGGGGTGAGACTCAAGGCTGGACAGACAAGGCGACCCGGAATAGGGCAAGACCAATGTATGAAGAGAAACAGGATAAAACCAAGATGTGGAGAGTGCTGGTTAGCTGGAAGGATAATGGATGGATGAACAGATGGCTGGCTGCATGGATGGACGAATAGATGGATGGTTGGATGAATGCATGGATGGAGGATGGATGGATGACTGGATGGGTGGATGGGTGATGGATAAATGGTTGGATGGGTGGAATGAATGAGATACATGATGAATGATGTATGCATATAGATAGGTGGGCAGATGATGAATAATGGACGGGTGAGTCTAGGAGAAAGGAGAGGGCCAGGAAGACACAATGGGAGAGCCCAACAGAGAAGAGAGGGAGGCGTGTATGGACGCAGGGCCAGGAGGAGACCGCTGGGACATGGGTGGCAGGCACGCGGCAAGCTCCTGAGATTATACGGTCGGGACATGGACTGCTGGAGTGGGTAGCGACCAGAGACACAGAATAAGAAAATGAGTTGAAACTGGGGGCGACATAAAAGCAAGGGGACAGGAAAGGAACACAATCAGAAAACAGGCGGAGGACGCAGGCAGACCCAGAGCGAGGCAGGTCTTACCAGAGCCATTGGGGACACTGGGGGCAGGGTGGGCTGGGTTCCCGCGAGGCCGGGGCTCCTGGTAGGGGGGTGGCTCTCGAGGGCCCGGGCGGTTGTTGATGAGGATGGTGTCCCCAGGGACAGAGAGATGAACTGTCAGCTCCTCTTCTAAGACCCGCCGCTCGGCCTTGTCCAGAGAAGGCGAGATGTGAGCTGCGCTGCTGCTCGGTGCTGTGGAATGCTGCACCCACGCTCCCTCCCGGTCCTCACACGGCCCGAGTAGCGACAACGAACTCCATCCGCAGGTGGCGAAACCCCGGCTGGAGAGCCTTTGAGCCCGCAGATGGGACCCCCAAGTCTGACCAGCCCACTATTATCAACTTTACCGGAGCCGCCACCGACTCGCTCCGGAAGATATGGGTGTGGGGTTTCCACACTTCCCCCGGGACCCCTCCAGCTCCAACTTTTCCCACCGCCGTGCCCAGGAGTCCGGAGGCCCTGGACAGTGCGGTCAGCGCTTTTCCTCCTAGCTTGCCCTCCAGGCCTGCCCTCCTTTCAGCAAACAGCCAGGAGGCTGTGGCTACGGCCACGCAGGCCCCACCACCCCTTGATTTCCATGCACCCCACCCACACTTCTCTAAGTGTCCCTTTACCGGCCCCTGGCCCCTCGCTAGCCTGCGCCGAGGCCCTGAGGGGCCCTGACTGGCAGACGCGGGGCCCAGGCCCGACCCCGCCCC